TTTTGGCTGTATTCAATATATATATATATATATATATATATATATATATATATATATATATATATATATATATTTATACACACTGCATGTTTAAATTAGCTTTTTATAAATTACAAAATATATGAAAAATATTTAAAAAAATATATATTTTTTAATTATATTCTTCAGATTTTTTGTAACATATAAAAAAGTAATTTTAACATATATTTTTACATACATTTGTAAATGCATTCCAAAAATGTAGATTAAATGTATCTTTAAAGACATACAGTATATTTGAAAATGTATTTTTAAAAATATTTTTTTCATATATTTTGTAATAAAAACCCATTTCAACATACAGTATATATATATATATATATAAAATATATTGAATACGGCCAAAATTGTAGTATTTCAAATATATGTCAATATATTTGGGAAGAATATTTTTTAAATATATTTTTCTTCCATGTGGGATTTAACCTCTTCGCACTGCGAGTACACAAATATGTGGACTCTCGGCAGGTAGATCTTGATGCTGAGAGGCCGTATATTTGCATATCAAAATGTTAACAAACATGTGCCAAGAGCGCACGCCCTGTGTGCTAACAGGCACAGTTATCGGCGCCTAATGGAAAGCTCCAGATTGCTACTTGCAAAACTACTGATCATGTGACTGCTGTGACAGCCAATCACGGTGGTCACATGATCATAAACCCCACCTCCCGGCATCAGAAACTCCTTAAAGGGCTGGGATGTGCTGGCGTTAAAGGGTTAAGGAAAGTTTAATAAATATAAGTTCAAATAACATGATTGTGGATGCCTAAATCTCCAAATAGCAAACTTTCAAGTCCCAAAAAAAAGTATGGTGAGTCTTCGAAATTTGCATTCCCTTGTATTCACTGCCACTGCAGCATACATGACCTGCTGATGTAATTCAAGGGTGTACTGCCTTTATCAGAGTCTACCAACTAATCTATCATCATTTCTTACAGGAACCAACCACCAAATGTTTGTCAGGATGAGCCCCCTCGGCAACCAGCACAGTCACAAAACTGAGTGCAATTGTGACTAATAGGACAGTTGATGTAAAGCTGTACTTTGTTATGACAGATTGACTAGAAGACTTTCAACTTTGTTAAACTACAAGTAGCTGTAAGGGTGTCACATCCCTGGTTGGAGGACGACTTGATGAGAGAGCTTCCCTTGCAGTTGAGTGCCGGGAACCTGTGAAGGTGAGAGCGGGGAGAGCAAAGCCCAAAGAAGCATTGGTGCCTTTTAGGTAGCTGTGCTGATGGTTGCTGGCAGTGGAGTTCACCAGATAGTTGTCAGCTGGTCTGTCAGAACTGATGGCAGGACCTCTGCTGCCCTTGGAGATGTAGCAGGACCAAGGCAGCGGCTACAAACAAGATAGCACCCAAGGTGGTGGCATGGTCATACTGGCAGAACCGGACTGAAGTAATAATTTTTACAGAATATGCACATGTCCACTCCTATCCCTTACCCATCATTTGCATTAAGCCATTCTTCCTGACACTGTCTGCTGACTCTCTTTCTTTAGTACTTTGAGTAACTGAATCCAAACAAATATGTAGATGAGGGCATTAGATTTTACATTTTCTTTCCTGATACATACTTTAAAGTACACATTCACCTACATAGGAGATTACCAATGTTTGTACCATCGCATTGCTGTAAGCACTATGCATTCATATTGCGCGCCATCTAGTGGAAAAATAGCAGAATGCGTGGAGGACACTTTTTTTTTTAAAATTTAATTTAAAGTGTACTTAAAGAGTTAGTTCACCTTTTCAGAAACAGTGAAATGGTGAATGAACACCCTATACCCTCCCCACAGTTTCCACTGTGCTTATCTTCATGGGTTATTAGCTGTCAGTGCCTACACAGCCGGTGTAGCAATGTGGGGATTTCAAATCCCTCTTCTGAGGCTTCCAGGGAGTGATCAGAGTGATTTTGACTGGTCAGCACCAGCATGTAACTGCTTTGACTCACCAAAGTTTTCTAAACATTAGGTTTAGTTCCACTTAAATGTCTATGTAATCAAAACATTTGCTTTACCACAGCCTGTACCACAAGTGAGTGATAAGCGTCAAAACAGTAGGGTTAAAAGGTAGTGTTGTCAGTCAAGCATGTCTTTATAGATCACCTACAGGACAGGAATACAAAGGTAAGTCCATGTAAAATCATCAGTTGATTTCTTACAAATGTGTATTCTTGTTAATTCATAACTAGAGATGTGCACGACAGAAAAATTTGTTTAGTTTCCTTTCCATTTGTTAAGTAAACCATTTCATTTTGTCATAATCATTATTTTGGAATGATTCATTTTTGGAATGATTTGTTATTTCAAGAGAGTATAAATTTGTTTTTCTAAATCGATTCATATTTTCAGAAGTTCGGTTATTCTTTTTTATTCGTTCGTTTGTATATCGTAATTAATTAATACATATTCATTTGTTATGTTATTAAGTTGAATTAATTTCCCCATTCCTAAATAACTGTTTGTTGGCTGCGCACAGGTCAAACGAATGGTCTCTCAAGTTCAACCCCAATACAAAGAATCTTTTTAGAATGTTCATGCTGTGCTCACTAGAATAAAAATAAATGGATCTAATCAATTCAGGTCTGTCATTATGTTGTAACATTATTTTGGATGCTTCAAACATTAACATATGGCCAAAACTATTGCATCATGTCATCTGAATAAAACGAATGATTAGGAATGAATTTGTTGTTTTTTGTTTATTTTGGATTAGTTGAAATTTGTTACTATTGTGATTTGGACAATTGGATACATCTAAATCTCTGTATTTCAATTTGTAGCGAAAATAATCGCACATGTCTAGTCATACATATGATACATATGATCTTTCCTTTTGATGTACACATTAAAAGATATATAAAATCTAGCCTCTTGGCCAACACTTCAAAAATGTTTTTTTAGTATCAGGCAGCTATTTGGTTTTGTGGATACATTTTTTTCTGCTGGCTCCATCAGAAATTCTAACATAAAGGTGTGTGGGTATTTGGGACTTTAAATATACCACAAGTAGCTATATAATACAACAATGACCATCAACTCTAAAAAGCATCAATTTTATTTGGATATATTCAAACTAGACAAAATGTTAAACTAGGTCTCAAATAAAATCACCACAGTTCCTCCAAAACATTGCCATAAGCCCTTATATAACGGTCTACGCATTTCATAGTTTCAACCAGTTCTTCTAGACCAACAAGGTTCATTAACAATTAGAAGGTTTGAAAGATTATACAATCAGGTATAAAATCAATTCTGAAAGAAAGAGGAAAAAAAATGTAACTATACTGAACACAATTGTAATAGTATAACAAAATCATTCTCAAAATACCCCATATACTGTATGTGGAATATAAATAACTGTTAACATCAATAACTTACCCCCAATGAGTGGACTGAGGGATAATGCTGAAAGATGTAGTTGTGCAAGTGCTCTTATCGGCCCATGGGAGAGATTCCTAGAGGCAAGCAGTCGCAAATACCCAACGTTTACTTTCTTGGATAGTCAAAAACTAGATGTGGCATAGCAACAATACAAATAAATAGTCTAATGGTAAAAACTATTCGATATATATCACCAAGCAATAAGACTCACCTATGATATATTGGTGGTCACAACCTAAGTTACGATGATATTGGTGACCTGGTACCCTGGTAGACCTTATATTTTGAATAGTCTCTGAAACTTCCACCTCACATAATATTTTTAGTGTTCTCCATCAGAAATTCTAGTCACATGCTAGACTCTCTACACAGAGCCCCAGTATAATTACATCTCTGAGGCTTCTCAGCCAAGTCTAACAGCCAATGTGAAGTTTCTCTCCTTAGGAAGCAACATATTCTTACTTTGGCACCCTATACAGGACTACCCCCAGCACCAAGGACATTTTCAGAAATGACATATGGGGGAGGGGGATAATCAAAGCTTCTGTGCCAAATTACACAACAGATAGACCTGTTTTGGATCTATCTACACCACTTCCACCAATTTCACTTTCAGAGTGAAATAGAAACTGCAGCAGGTTCCATGAATAAATAAAAAAGGGATTGTGTCAGATTTCATTATATAAAACTGCCGCAGATCCCTGCCAGACCTGACCTAGCGTACGAGCAGTGAATTGTCTGCCGGTAACCTAGCGGACAGATTACATGCCTCCCTTTACCCATATAGTAAATACACTACATGGGCAGAGCCTGCATATAGTCAGGGAAAGCTCCTTTCCACCACTATTCCACTTTCTGAACCTCTTTCCTGTAAGGCAAGTTATCTTGCTCTATAATCAGAACCATTATTGTGGTATCATCCACATACTTAATTAGTGGAATGAAATTGAGGTGCGGTTGTAGGTGTAACGACCATAAAGTAAAGTACTCAGTATACAACCTCGAGGGATGCCTGCAGTTAAAGTGCTTGTAAAGACTGAAGGTTTTTCCTTTATGCATTCTCTAATACTTACTTGAGCCTCATTGAGATCCTGCGGTGTGCAGGAAAGCCTCGGCTCACCGGGGACACTCCCTCCTGATTGGTTGAGACAGCAGCAGGAGCTACTGGCTCCCGCTGCTGTCCATCACAGTCAGTGAGCCAATGAGGAGAGAGGGGGAGGGGCTGAATAGTAGCTCTGTGTGTGAATGGGCACGCAGAACAGCAGCTCGGGAGCCATAGCAAGCTGCTTGCTCTTGGGCCACTTGGCAGAAGTAGAGGAAGATCAGCGCTGCTCTGTGACATATAGTTATTTTTTTGTTATTTAAAAAAAAAGTATATACACCCTGGTCTCATTCATTCATTCATATGGGGCAGCCTACAGCGATCCTGTGGAGTATGACCCTTCCATATGAATATATAGGACTGCAAAATACTTCTGTAGTATACTCCTCCGGGGGGCGCGCAGTGTGGCGATCGGTGGGACACAGCGGATCACCGATCAACAGAAGGAGCCGAAGACGTCGGCTTAGTCATGTGATCAGCTGTGTCCAATCACAGCTGATCGCATGTAAATAAGGAAATGCCAGTTATCGGCATTTCTCTCCTCACTAGCTGTCATGCTGACAGCTCGTGAGGAGAGCCGGTAATCGGCATTTCTCAGAGGGGACATGTACACTGAACATCAGGGCACTGATGATCAGTGTAGCCCCAGCAGTGCCACCTGTCAGTGTCCATCAATATCAGCTATCAGTACTCATTAATGGCACCTGCCAGTGTCCATCAGTGCCACATCAATGCCACATATCAGTGCCTACCAGTGCACATCAATGCCACATATCAGTGCCCATCTGAGCTGCCTTTCAGTGCCACCTATCAGTGCCAGTCAGTGCCACCTATCAATGCCAATCAGTGCCACCTATCAGTGCTGCCTATCAGTGCCATATATGAGTGCTGCCTTTCAGTGCCTATCATTGATGCCTGTCAATGCCCATCAGTGCCACCTACCAGTGCCTCCTCATCAGTGCCCATCAGTGCCACCTATCAGTGCCCATCACTACAGCCTCATTAGCGCACATCAGTGAAGGAGAAAAAAACACTTAGTTACAAAATTTTATAACAAAAACTAAGAAAAAACGTATTTTTTTTTCAAAATTTTCAGTTGTTTTTGGTTTCTTTAGCAAAAAATACAAAACCCAGAGGTGGTTAAATATCACCAAAAGAAATCTCTATCTGTCACAAAAAAATGCTAAATATTTCATATGGGTACAGTGTTGCATGACCGAGCAATTGTCATTCAAAGTGTGACAGCACTGAAAGCTGAAAATTGGCCTGGGCAGGAAGGGGGTATAAGTGCCCAGTAGGCAAGTGAGTAAACCTGTCTGGTTGCCATTGGTAACAAGAAGTGTCCTTTTCAGTATACGTTTCATATACAAGCCCCTTACTGCTTGTGGGGCAGTGCTGGATTACCAAACAAACAGAGTAGGTACTAGCCTATGGGTCCCACGTTGTTTAAGGGCCCCTCTACAACAGATCAAAATAATATTTGATGTTAAGTTGAAAGAAAAAATTCATGTCAGATTTGATTTTTGAACAGGTATAGATGAATCAGAGTGACTTGCGAGTGACTTAGAGGATCGCAAACATGAAACACATAACTACAACTGTGTTAGAAATATCTACAAATATATGTTGCGCTCCTAAATACTTCTCAATAAATAATTAAATTATTACCATTAAATTAATTCAAATTATGATACAAATAACTAATAAAAAAGTGTATAAATACCAAAAAATATTTAAATAGATAATTTCAACTAATCAATCTCCTCCAAATAAATATCAAAATAATTCCACATAAAATACTGCTCTGAAAAAATATTTTACCAAGTGCTCATAAATCATTAGTGCCATGATGTACTTACTAATACCCTCAATTTCATTTATATTCATAATACCCTCATTTAATATAACAAAAATAATAAACCAACTAATAACACTCAACTAAAATGCATTTAAATGATCCCCATAAACAAAAATAACCAAATGCCCATAAATAACCAGCAGCAGCGACCAGCACGAACCCAAACATCACCAAAACAATAGTCCCATTGAATAAACAATTGTTTGTATACAGTGACTTGGTGCTTGTTGTTCCTCAATTTGTGACTTTTTTGAATCCTTCAAATAGTGAAGATGTGCGCTCACCTCCTTTGATGCCTGCAATTAGGCTATACACGCTTTCGGTTCACTTTCCCTGGAACCTGCTGGACATATACTTTTGCTGGTAAAATTGGGAGATCCTTCCTTTAGGAGTAATGGATGTATCCTCTTGGTGGCTGATTATCCCCTCAGGGATTACACACTCCTTTTGTTATCTCAGACCTCTTAATTATCCTCTCTTTGTGTTACTCCGCATGCAGGAAGAAATAGAGGACATAGTGCTTTACCTTTTAAAACTTTTTTATTCCCACCATCCAAGTATTAAACTCACATTAGACAAGTTTAAATAACGCAATATCCCATTGGAAATCCTCTGCTGGCCTCTGAGTCATACACCTGCCGTCTATCGTGTTGTGCAGCTCCTCTCCAAGTGATGACGTAGCCCCTCCCCTACGCGTTACGCCTCCAATCACGTGGCTTCATCAGGGGGTTGTGATAGGTCTATTTGATTTTTGTACCTGCAACTTGTAAACATTTCAATATGTAAATGTCTCATGTAGACCACTGATCGAATTGTACTACTGAGCTTTCTCAGAAACCAACATTTGTTACTATGTACTAAATGACTTCATAACATTCAAAGCTTTCTTGTAGCTGATTGATGTTTATATGTTTGCTTTTTATGAATAAACGTCATATGTTTAAAAAAAAAAAAAATACAATGAAGCATTCTTAAATTGTTAGAAAATATAAATCAACTCAAAGAAACAACAACCTTACATTGAAGACTCTATAGAGAAAATAGCACATTAATGTAATGTACTTGATAACAACTTAAATAATATGTAAAGCCGACATTTCATATTCTTGATATGTGCCTGCTGTACCATGTACTTGTATGAAAATGTATCCTGTTCTCTTTGTGTTGCTTCCTTTGTGTGAAAACTCTGGTGTTTCTCCCAGTCCCTCTGCTTTCCTATTAAACACTGACCACATTAAGCAGGAGACCACTGGGGTTTATTTATTAAGGCTGGAGTGTGGTTACAGTGTGGTTAGTTCTCTAGCAATGCTGGGATCTCAGCTTTCTCTCCACCAATGATCAGACTTGCCCTGACACCCCCCTCCCCCAGCACAGCCTTTCACTGCGAAGATCAGCATTGTGCTGTTTCTCCTCCCCTAAGTGATCACTTATAAAAAAAGGGGAAAAAAGGTGTTTAGAATGTTTTTTTTTATATCTATGTAGTACTACCCCCTTAGTTATTTTCGGGCTCCCTGTTGCTCTGGACCCCTTTCTGAAAGCCCAACCCCTGCTGAAACCGCAGTACTTGTCTGACTAGAGCAAATTATCACCAAAAAATAGACTTGTACACAGATTAGAGTGAACTGATATGATGAATGCAAGCCTAGTAAAACAGTATAAAGTGGTATACAGTATGTGTACATAATGGCAATCACTACTCTTAGCAACTCTAAAACAAAGAAAACAACACATACAGCACAAGCTCAGTCAGTGCTAGCAGGCGTACTATTCAGAAGTTAACCCAAGATCTTAAACCCGACGGGTTTCTAGTCCCCAGTGAGCAAGGAAAACTATCAAAGGTGGAACTAGCTCACTTTGGGCCTTCAAGATCTGATGGCAAGGTTTAAATCTGAAATAGAAAAAAGCTCTTCTGGGTGCTCGCTGGGGCTCAGTTGATGCACTACAATGATGAAGATGGCAGTCCCTCAAAGGGTAATACATGAAAAAGAAGAAAGGAGGACAATCCTGTCCCTTTAAGTGGCACTTGACTTGGGTTCCTTTAATGTGCTAAGCAGGTTGCAAATTTTAGACAAAAAGGTGTCAGAGGTAGGCAAAAGCACTTGCTGGCAAACGGCAACTCCTCTCTAGGCTGCAGTAATTAATGGCAATGGTGGTAGATGTTCCTTTAATAGGGTAGGCTGATGGTTAAGGGAAGAATGATGTTAGAGAGGGGAGTGTCAGAAGACTACATTTCCCGGAGGAGCTGGCAGACAGGAGGACAAGTAGTGTTCCTTTAAGTGGCACTTGACTTGGGTTCCTTTAATGCACTAAGCAGGTTGCAGATTTTAGACAAAAAGGTGTCAGAGGTCGGCAAAAGCATTTGCTGGCAAAGGCAACTCCTCTCTGGGCTGCAGTAACTAATGGCAATGGTGGTAGATGCTCCTTCAAGACGGTAGGCTGATGGTTAAGGGAAGAATGATGTGGTTTGGCCTGTAGAAGGTGTGCACCGTGGTCAGCTCTGATGATTGAACTGTGCTGGAAATGTGTTCAATAGTAGTGACCAGGGGAACTAGGCCGCAACATGTGTTAACTATATGCAATTATGTACATGAAAGTGACAGATTGGAAAAGAGTGTCAGTGTCAATGTCAGTGTTCACTTGTTTGGCTGGTGTATGGGACTCTCTCACCCAATGTGGCTTCCAGCAGGTCCTGCAGGTCTCTCTCTCAGCGGATGGAGGCCCCCAGCGGTTCTCTGATCCCCACTGCAGCGCTCAGTCCAGTCACAGCACTCTGAGCTGCCTGCCGATAGGATGTCTTTCCCTCTCTAGGCTGGCGATGCTGGTGGTCAGTAATCCCTCCTGACTCATCTCCTCTACCCCTCTGAGGCCTGGTTTGGTACTTTGGCAACCTGCACAGCTCTCTCTCTCCACTTCTGCTCTCCAGCTCTCTCTGCTCTCACTTCCTGTTCAATCGCCCAGGCTTCTGTATATATCAGTCCCTGCCCCACGCCAGCTCCTCTGGGAAATGTAGTCCTCTGACACTCCCCTCTCTAACAAAGTCCTGAGGCTTTTTCTCCTCCCAGAGTGTGAGTGCCACTGAGCTGTAGGACACTGCCATCTTGTGTCTGTTTCAACATCTTGCAACTGACATTGCAGCAGGGTGTTACATCTATAAACAAATGTTTTTCCTTTCATTTCTATTTTAAATTGTATGGGTTGTTTTACAAGGTGAGGGTTACAATCACTTTAAAGAACATAAACCATAGGTTCACATTGCAGTTGGTCCCTTAAAAGCTCATCCTCTTTTAGCTGTCACTTTCTAAAAAAATTTGGGGCAACCTATGTACTGTTTGTGTAATGTACAGTAGTGATCAGGGCCGGTGCTAGACTATTTTGCGCCCTAGACAAGGCCAGCTACTTGGTCTTGTCTAAATATTAAATCAACAAAACATGAAACGGCAAAATTTCTTTTAATTTGCAAAAATAAGTGCCATAAGATAGCTCTGACAGGTCCCAGGCTGGAATTCCCCAGGAAATGGGGGGAGAAAAAATGCTGTGAAAGCAGGCAGCCCAGCCCACCCCACACCACACGCACACAGAGAACACATGAACTGAATGATCCCACACAGTGACAGATCCAACACAACACAACACACCACCACCAACACTGATGCACATCAGCAGGCACAAGAAGAGCAGGCTGTGGGATCATCATGATGTCATCACTTACTGACACATTGCACATGTGATGGATGGCTGGCCGGGTCACTCTCACACAGACACGAGACACAAGAGACAGACATTACCTTTCACTGCAGGTTATATTATTGAATTAAATTTATTATTATTTTTTTTATGATTATTTATTAAATTGTAATTTATGATTTTGTGTTTCAAATTTTAACATGCCCGGGATGTTTACTAGACTCTTGTTCGGACAAATTTCAGTGAGTTATTCCTAAAAATTACAGGCCTACAATAAAAAAAAGATACATATTTCCATGCAAAAAAATGTACCACTTTGAGCACAGAAATATTGACATAATCAAACTGCT